AGCATGCATGAGGCACTGGGTTTGATCCTTTATTTTACATTTATGTGTAAAATAAAGATATTGTGTCCACCCAAAACTAAAAAATAAATATTTTTTAAAAAGAAGAAGACATACAAATGAGCAATAAATTTAAAAAATACTAATGTCACTAATCATTAGGAAATGTAAATCAAAATGACAATCAAGGCCAGGCATGGAGGTGCACACCTCTAATCCCAGTGGCTTGGGAGGCTGAGGCAGGAAGATTCTGAGTTCAAAACCAGCTTCAACAAGTTAGTGAGGCCCTAAGAAACTTAGGAAGACTCTGTTTCAAAATAAAATATTTTTAAAAAGGACTGGGGATGTGGCTCAGTGGTTAAGACCCCTGGATTAAATCCCTGGTACCAAAAAAAAAAAAAGTCAATGAATTATCACATAAGAATGGTTCTTATCAAAATGACAGAAAATGACAATTCTTGGCAAGGATATATAGAAAAGGGAACCCTAAAACACCGTTGGAGGGAAAATAAATTAGTACAATCATTAAAGAAAACAGTATGGAGGTTCCTCAAAAAATTAGAAATAGAATTACCATATGATCCTACAAACCTGATACTGGATATTTATCCAAATGATATTAAATCAGTATGTCAAAGAAACATCTGCACTTCCATATTTGTTGCAGCATTGTTCATTAATGTCCAAGACATAGAAACAATCTAATGGTCCATCAACCAATGAATGGTTAAAAAAAAAAATGTGGTATGGTATACATAATGGAATACTATTCAACCATTAAAAAAGAACAAAATAATGTCATTTGTGTCCGTGTGGATGGACCTTGAGTTAATTATATTAAGTGAAAGAAGCTAGGCACAGAAAGACAAGTACTACATGATCTCACTCATATGTGGAATCTAAACGGTTGAATTCACAGAAGCTTAGAATGGTGGTTACTTGAGGCTGGAGAGAGTACAGGGAAGGGAAGGATAGAAAAACACTGATCAATGGGTACAAAATTATAGATAGGAGCAAGAAGTTCTGGTGTGCTATTGCACAGTAGGGGACTATAGATAATGACAATAATAATAATAATAATAATAACAACAACAACAACACGTTTTAAAAAGCTAGAGGATTAGAGGATTTTGATGGGTTTTCATCATAAAGAAATGATAACTGTAGCCAGGCATGGTGTTGCATACCTGTAATCTCAGTGACTCAGGAGGCTGAGGCAGAAGGATTGCAAATTCAAGGCCAGCCTCAGCAACTTAGTGAGAACCTGTCTCAACTGTCTCAAATTAAAATGTTGGGGATGTAGCTCAGTGGTAAAGCACCCCGGGTTCAATCCCAGTACAGAGAGAGAGAGAGAGAGAGAGAGAGAGAGAGAGAGAGAAAGAGAACTTTTGACTAAATAAATATGTATAACTTGATTTAAACATTAGATGATACATACATTTATTAAAACTTCATATGATACCTATTAATATGTATGAAAAGATAAAAATATAAGATAAAAATAGGTAAAGGCTCTGAATAGTCATTTTGCAAATAAATATGTACAAATTCTTAATAAATACATGAAAAACTCTCAATTAGTCATTAGAAAAATACAAATCAATGCCACAATGAGAAACCTACTTCACTGTCACTAATAAGAGTAATAATCAGAAAGCTTGACAATAGCAAATGTTGGTGAGGGCATGGAGAAAAATGGAACGCTCATATACTGCTGGTGGGAAATCAAATTGATATAGCCCCTTTAGAAACAGTCTGTTAGTCCATAAATTTGCTTCTACACTATATTTTAATGAATTTAAGTACATTTGTTTTATATATAAAAACTATAGTGTTTTAAATATGAGAACCTTATTGTCTAAAATATTAAAAAGAAAATAATTGTGAACTGATGTATACATGTGATGCCCATGTAATCACTGCTTTGGAAACATTTTCACAGTATACCATTTCATGGGTAAAAAGAAGCAGATCAGAAACAAACAAAAAATAAAACAGTCTGATAGTTTCTCTGAAGGTGAAACAGAGTTTCTACATGATCCACCAGTTTAACTCCTAGGTGTTTATCCAAGAGAAACAAAAACATGCCCACACAAACACTTATACATGAAGGTTCAAAACTGCACTATTCACAATCCAACATTATTTACTAGTGGATGGAAGAACAATATGGTAGCCATACAATGGAATAGTATTTATTGATTTAAAACTGAAGTACTGATTCATACTAAAATGTGAATGAACCTTGGAAACATGCTAAGTGAAAGAAGACAGACACAAAAGTCCATACTTTTTATGATTCTACATAAATGTCCAGCATAAAGAAATCCATAATGACATAAAGTATTTTAATGTGGCTACCTTGGGCTGGTAGGGTTGGGGAAAATGGGAAGGGACTGTTAGTGGTATAGGTTTCCTTAGGAAGTGAACCAAACAAAAAATATTCTAAACTGATTCTGGGGATAGTTACACAAGTCTATGAATATACTAAAAATCAACTCACTGTACACTTGAAAAGGATGATGTCAATCTCATTCCACCATCTTTCCTTCCCACTAACCCCTGTCCCCCTCCCCACTTCTCCTTCCCCTTTGCCCAATCACAGTTCCTCCATTTTGAAGTGTAAGATTTGTGAATTATTTTTCAATGAACTGGTAGTAGGAACTTGGTGCTCATTTTAATTCTCTAAATTTGATTTTAGATTATTCTTTGTGGATAACATCTTTTTAAAAAGCATTTTTTAGGGCTGGGGATGTGGCTCAAGCAGTAGCGCGCTCGCCTGGCATGCGTGTGGCCCGGTTCGATCCTCAGCACCACATACAAACAAAGATGTTATGTCCGCCGAAAACTAAAAAATAAATATTAAAATTCATTCTCTCTCTCTCTCTCTATCTCTCCCCCCCCTCTCTCTCTCTTTCTTTAAAAAAAAAAAAGCATTTTTGGGGAGTCTAACAGACCTGAATTCTGGTTCAACCACTTAACAACTATGAATTCTTGGGCAGATTGCTTAACCTAAGCCTTCCAATGTCTTATCTGTAAAGCAGAGATGGTAATAATAGTAACTCCCTGGTAGGCTTTTGTATCATGTGCCTGGCACATTGCCAGTACTATTATTAGCTAATGTTACTTCTAAGCATTTGAACCACTTGCCTTAAAAACAAAAATCCATGCCTCTCTTGCTTTAAAATCCAACTTCCATGTTTGCTATTTCAAAAGTGTTTATAACTTTGTTCAGGGAAGAAAATTGACCTTCTGTTTGGCTGTCCTGTCTTCAAATCTAAAAATGTCCTTAAATAACAGGTCTATAATACAACTGAAGCTCTAAACAAACCAAGGCAAAAACCAAAATTTCTGTCACTTCTGAGGGTTGGTGTTAACTAATTTTCTCACCTGATTCTGGGAGTTTTTAATCTAGGCCAGATTAAGAGAAACTTATTCTTTCAGTGTCAAGCAGTCTCCAGAATCTGTGTCTACTCTGAATCTAGTCCCAGAGTTAAAGTCAAAAGAACCCCTGAGGGGCTGGGGCTGTAGCTCAGTGGTAGAGCACCCGCTTCACACATGTGAGGCCCTGGGTTTGATCTTCAGCACCACATAAAAATAAAGATATTGTGTCCAAATACAACTAAAAAAAAAAAAAGCCCCTGAGCACGAGTCTTGCTATTGTCCCACTTGGATTTCTAACATATGACATCAAAAGGCAAGCTGCACCTTTGAGCCTCTCATACAGTTTTCTGGTCCAGACGAATGTGTCAGCGAATGTGTCAGGGATGGGTAGTCTGAAGCTAAGGAAAGGTAGGAGAGTTGTGGCATTCATCCTGGTCCCTTCAAAAGACTTTTATTCTTCTTCTTTTTTTCTAATGTGGTGCTGGGGATTGAACCCAGGCCTTGTGCATGCGAGGCAAGCACTCTACCAACTGAGCTATATCCCCAGCCCAAGACCCTTATTCATTTTTATTCAAATATTTTTTAGTTGTAGATGGACACAACACCTTTATTTTATTTATTTTTATGTGGTGCTGAGAATTGAACCCAGTGCCTCACATGTACCAGGCAAGTGCTCCACCTCTGAACCACAACCCCAGCCCCCAAAACCCTTATTCTTTTTATAATATTTATTTTTTAGGTGTAGATGGACACAACACAATACCTTTATTTTTATGTGGTGCTGAGGACCGAACCCGGGCCCCACCCATGCTAGGCGAGCGCACTACTGCTGAGCCACAATCCCAGTCCCAAGACCCTTATTTTTATAATATTTATTTTTTAGGTGTAGATGGACACAACACAATACCTTTATTTTTATGTGGTGCTGAGGACTGAACCCGGGCCCCACCCATGCTAGGTGAGCGCACTACTGCTGAGCCACAATCCCAGTCCCAAGACCCTTATTCTTAAAGGAGACACTATTTTATTGTTCTTCATGAACCTGAAACAATTTATATTTGTGTAAATTATCATTAGAACCCTTTGTTAAAGGTTGTGGCACACAGCTCACATAAGTGTTGGTCTTTTTTCACCATTCCTTACCAATACCTGTTTCGAGAAGTGACTTCCTCTACCCACAAAATATTCAATAAAACATTGAATAATAATATAATAATACTCCAATAAAACATTCATCAGGGTGGGGAAGGCTAAGTTCATACCACATTACCAAACTCTCCCAGATTCTTTTAATTACGCTTTTGGAATACAATGTGTTCACAATGTTTTATTTAATACCTGTATTTCCCTCAAGAATCTATGTTCCACAAGGGAAGGGTTCTTCTATTCTTTGTTCACTACTAAATTCCCATCAGATACTACGAGGCCTTACACATAGTAGGTGCTCAATAAAGTATGTGTTGGATTAATGACCAACTCATGTAACAATGAAATAATTCCTGGAATCAAGAACATGGATAACCAAGAGTTCAACTGAGGCCTTGGATTTCCAAATGAGGTGGTCCTAAGAAAGGATCTTATTACAAAACAACATAGTTGGGAAAATATTAGCAATTTACCTGTGCTGGGTAAGCACGTTTACAGCTGAAGGATGATTTGCACAATAAGCCAGATACATAGATTTAAAATGAGGCATGAGATTCAGCAGACAACCTCCTACTTTGTGTTGATTTTCTGGAAATCTGTAAGAGAAACAGGTGAAACGCAGAATGTAAAATAGGAAACAGAAGGTGAAAGATGATTCCAGTTAAACTTGGCAGCATGTAAACCTTTTGACTGTTTTGCCATGGATAAAAATGAAACTGTATTAAAACCATTTTATCCATGAAATATAGGCTTTTTTGAGCACTGCTTTAAACTCTAACCACCAAATACAGCTATATACGTATGTCAGATGCTTACCTAGAATTAGTAGGTAGGGTTGTTTGTTTATTTCTAAGATGCTTATATTCAAATTTAGCTTGACACATTAAAAATACTCTTGACTGGTTTATATGAAATACAGACAAAACTAATCAAATCCAAAAGCTACACACCACAAAAGAATATGATATAGTCCTGTTGGCCTGGTGGTTGCTTGGCAGGGTGGCCTCAAGATTTTTTTAATTTTAAAAATTAAAAGTCATCCCTTTTTGTTTGTAGAAAACTCAGAGGAGCATGAGAAAGAAAAACTTACTCAAAATCACACCCTTCAATTATATCTGCTGTAATAATTTTGGCATATTCCATGGGCTTTTATTTCTATGTGTTTCTCCATAGAACAGCAAACAAAGATCATGAATCTAGTTTGCAAAGCTGCCCTTCTCGGTAAACGTCTTTCCATATCAAATATCTAGATCTCTACTGGCATTTGAAGTGGCTCCTCAGGTCTCTGTAGTTTAAGATCTTTCCATCTTTCTCCCTGGACAGCCCTCCCGGACCCATAAAACCAAAGAAACAGGCAACTACCCTCATTTTCTTTATAGAGATGAAAGTTACCCATATCTCCAAGATATGCTATTTAGAAAATTAATCTTGCAACAGAAATACATTGCACAATGACTAGGACTGTTAACTTTGTAGTACAAAGTTGAATGCCTTAGCAACCAGCCATCAAATTATTTTGTAGTTCATATAAAGATATACTTTTCCTTCCTCACTTTTATGTGTTTGAACACCTAATATAATAGACACAATTCAAGGAATGAGTAAAAGAGAGAAAATGGTCTGGGGTGTAGCTCAGTAGTAGAGAGCATGTTTAGCATGCACAAGACCCTGGGTTCAATTCCCATGAGAGAAAACAAACGTGTGAAATAGAATAATCTGAATGCCATTTCCATGTAATTTGCAATGTACCAAAGAAAATATTTAATCAGAGTCAAAGGTGTCATCCATGGTCAATTAAAGAACTTATGTATCTCTTAAAGTGACCAGAAGTAGTAAATTGATATGATTTTAAATTAAAGTTAGAAATAATTTACCAAACATACAGCCCTGATACACATCTAGTACTTTGACACTGCAAACAACACCACCTAGTGCATCTTCTCTGTATTGTTATTTTGTTCTGGGACAATGTATCAAAACTAAAGCAAATGGATAAATATAAAGCACCCTTATGTAAGGCAACAGATAAGACAAGAACAACTCAATGTTGCTGGCCATCCTAACAAATTTGCCACACTTACTTTGAACATTCTTCCAAGGCTTGACAGAGTGTTTGTTGAAATGTACATACTTCCTCGAAGTTTCCCAGTAAAGATGTAAACTCCACAGAACTCAGACTGAAAAAAAAAATAATAATGCACGGAGTTTCAGTTAACAAAATTGAAGGATGCTGTTACATTATCTATAGTCTAGTTAGCAGAGTGATTGCTAATGTCTGGCAAATATGAAGGTAGCAATCCCTGTATTTTAACTGTTGCTTCTTAATTTACACCAACTCTTGGTCTTAGGAAACTTTTTAAGTTTCTTTCTTTGATATCCCTTTCCTATATTAACAATTCTAAACAAAATGAGTGGTAATATGGTGGCATTTTGGTAGTTTATAAACCCATGAGGAAAATCAATAACAAGTGCATAAAAACCTAAGTAATCTAAATAGATAAAATATACATCAGGGCTAAGAATAAGTGTAAAAACTTTTGTGTACCCTCTCCTGGGAAAACCAGAAAAGTAATTGAAAGACATATGCTCAAATAATGCACAGAAAAAAAACAGAAAAATCATCTTTCTCCTGAACTAAAATGCTCATAAATCAACTAAAAGAAATTTTTATGAAAGAAAATAAGAGGAAAAGAATATACTGATGTTTATTTCTTCATTTTTGTAATGGAGTAGAGTCAAATAAAAGCAAATTGAATAATTTTACCTAGGGTCTCTCTATGAAGAATGTTCTTGTCTAGTTTTCCCTTACCAAACAGTAAATGATAATGAGAACAAGATCCAACCTTCATACAGTGATGAACAGTTATTCAAGCTTTTAACAAATAAGAACTCATTTTAACAACCTTATAATAATTGTATGGGATAGGTACTACTGCTGTATCTATTTTACAGGTTAGACAACCCAGACCCAGAGAGGTTAAGCACACCAACCAAAGTCACAAAGCCAATGAATTGGAAAGACAGAAATTGAAACAAAACATCCTATCTCCAGATTCCATGCTCCCAACCACTTCTAAAGAGAAAATTTTCCAAAGATTTACTCAACATATTAGTGTTTGCCACTTGTTCTTTCTCCTTAAGAATAAAATGATCCTTGGAAAGTATTTCCAAGAGAATTTTTTGCTAATAAAAAATGGGAAGACCCAGATAAACATCTCCAGTTACCCCTAGAGTGTAAAAGCTTCCAGTTCTTCTGCTATAATGCCCTCTTGAACAACAAGCTGGAAAACCTCCCCAATGATGGGTGACAAAAGCGAAACTGCTAGCGGCCAGCTTGTCTGCTTGCTGCTCTTTGTAGCAGCAAAGGCCCGAATCAGGAGCTTACTTAAGCCTGACACAGGGCTTCTCTGGCACCTTCAGGATCAGACAATAAACACTCTAATTTTCTGAGATCACTCTGGGATCGACCAGATAGACAGAACTAATGGAAACTGAACTACAACTACATACCGAATATATTTAGGAACAATGCAGGTCTGACTCAGGTCTCTCACCTCCCCTGCCCTGGCTCTTGGCCTATCTTTTCCTCTCACTGTGTCTTGATTGCTAATCAGTCTCTTCCTCATTTGAAATACTACCCCTCCCCTCCCAGGTTTACCACTTAAATTCCTCTATCCTCTGCTTGTCACCTCCAGAAAACAAAGAGCATATTTCACCTGGTGTCAAGAGACATGGTGGATCCAGTCGGGTCTCTTACTATCTGCGTACAGACAAGGCAGGAAACCTCTCTGAGCTTCAGTCTCTCTTTTTAAGTCTGCGCAATGGAGATAGCAATTTTCTCCCAGGGCACTGGACCCTGAGGTGCCATCCAACTCTAAGAACTATGATTCATATCAAACTTCATAGTTTGCATAGCAATAACAGCCCAGAACAATGTTGTTGATCATGTTCAAACTCTTCCCACAAGGGAATACACAATCTTTTCATACTGAAGAAAGATTCCTATAATGCCATGAGAATAAGCCAGAAATTCAGCAAGACAAACCTGAACAAACATAATTTTTAAAAAGGAAGACAAATAGCGAAAAACTCATTTAAGTTGATAGTAGACCACTGTCTAGCAAAAGTAAGCAAGTTCAAGGTCTAGGCAAGGAAACTTAGCAAGATCCTGCCTCAAAATAAAAAAAAAAAAAACACATAAAGGAGCAGCCCTGGGTTCAATCCCCAGTATAAAAATAAATAAATAAAAGTCAGTTCCTATGGAGATTAAAGGGGAGACTTTTGTCCTTCATTCCTTGGATTGATTGCTAAATTTTCTACTTTATTTATGTATCACAATCTCTAGTGATATATAATCAATTAAAATAATACAAATAAAGCACTTAGCCCCTATATGTTTAATTTTTTAGCATATTAAATGGTCAAGAGTTTTCTTTTGTAAAAACTAAGTTTTCATTTCAGGCCTTTGACAATCACTTTAAATTTCTAACACCAAAATAAGGTTCAAACATTTTTGTTTTAAAGAACAAGGGCAGCAGAATAAAATAGACACTAGTATTGCTGTATGTATATACATGTTTGTATAACCAATGTGATTCTGCAATCTGTACACTCAGAAAAATGAGAAACTATACCCCATTTGATTCAAATGTATGATATGTCAAGATCATTGTATTGTCATGAGCAACTAATAAAAAAATAAAAAATAAACATTTTGATATCTCATTATCATTCACATTTGCTCAGCGAAAGACTGTCTTGAATTGTTGTTATGAATATCTACAAAATGCTACATGCATTGCACTCTCACAGCATGGCAAAGAAGTTCTGTCCTGGCAAGGAAATACCAAATGTGCACGAGAATTTACAGTTTATGTGCTTTCTCAATAAAAGCACCAACAAGTCCTTAGTGATGGTAAATAAGACATGCCACTTTTAAAATGTACTAGATACATGGAAGATTAAAAAAAAAGTTCATCTAATAGATGCAGAGAGTGAAATAATGGTTACCAGAACCTGGGAAGGGTGTGAGGAAGGAGGAAGGGAAGAGGATGTTTAACAGGTGCAACTAGATAAGAGGAATGACTTCTAATATCCAATAGCACCATAGGGTAACATGGTTGATACCAATTAATTGTATATTTAAAATAATTGGTAGAGAGGCTTTTGAAAATTCCCAACACAAAGAAAACATATTTAGGGTGCTGGTACACCAATCTGCTGTATCTGATCATTACACATATGTATTAAAACTTCATACTGGGGCTGGGGATGTGGCTCAAGCGGTAGCGCGCTCGCCTGGCATGCGTGCGGCCCGGGTTCGATCCTCAGCACCACATACCAACAAAGATGTTGTGTCCGCCCAGAACTAAAAAATAAACATTAAAAATTCTCTCTCTCTCTCCTCTCTCTCTCCTCTCTCACTCTCTCTTTAAAAAAAAAAAAAAAAAAAAAAACTTCATACTGGGCTGAGGCTGTAGCTCAGTGGTAGAGCAGTTGCCTACCACATGTGAGGCACTGAGTTCAATCCTCAGCACCACATAAAAATAAAAAATAAAGATATCGTGTCCATCTATAACTAAATTTTTTAAAAAAAACTTTATACTGTATCACATAAATATGTGCAATTAGTATTTGTTGATTACGTTTTAAAAAAACTTAAATAATGAAAGACACAAAAATGTACAAAATAAAAAATTGCAACAGGAGAAATTCATATCTACTCATTCCTTACACAGAAAGCAAGCCAAGCTCTCCCAGAGCAACGTCTTGCATAATTTCTGTTGCCCTGACCATGTTCTTGGCAACCTGTGATCTGTGGAAATTCTTCTAAAGGGCAAAATCAATTATTCAGTGACATAAGAGTAATGACTCCATATGCTGACATTATCTTTCTTTATTTAGCAAGGAGTTTCAAAGGAAAAACTTACTTGTTATTGGATTGCAAGGGTCTCAAGTAAGTAACAAGAAGAGATTGAAGTTCTTTAGCATATTCTCTTTCAGTGTCCAAGATGTTCTGTAACACCTATGGGGAAAAAAAAGGTTAAGGTATTATAATTGTCAAGAGAGTCCAAAGTCTAATGTAGCTTTAGATAGTTTAACCAAATTACTAGCAAAATAAAGGCCTTATTTACTTAGGTTGGCACTATAAGTAAGGAGCACAGAATCTGAATGCACTTTATTTTGATCTAGCAACTGGTTATATTGCATAACTCACACAAACACAATTTTTCGGAGTCACCCGTATCTGGAGGAGCTTTTCATGTTCAAAATACTTTCATGTGTGTTGAATAATTTGATTCTCAGGAAAGGGCTCAGTTAGTTAACAAAGAATTATTATCCCCATTTTATGGATGAGAAAATTGAGACCAACTACCTTAAGATGTAGAGATTCAATGCCAAGATAATTTAAGGATATGTCAAGCATCACAAAATATTGGAAAGGGTATATAGTTCAGTGGCAGAGCACCTGCCTTGCATATGTGGTGCCCTGGAATCCATCCTCAGCAACACACACACACACATACACACACACACACACACACACACACCAAAAAAAAGTCACCTTTTTTTTTTTTTTTTGGTATCAGAGTTTAAACCCAGGGACACTTAACCACTGAGCTACATCGACATCCCCAGCCCTATTTTGTATTCTATTTAGATTCAGGGTCTCACTGAGTTACTTAGGGCCTAAGTCGCTGGCTTTAAACTTGCAATCCTGCTGCCTCAGCCTCCCAAGCCACTGGGATTACTGACATGTTTCATGGCACCTGGCTTGAAAGTATTTTTTATTGAAAATATTTTTAGTAATATCATCTGTACTGAACATGTATAAACTTTTTTTCTTTTCAGTAAATAATATAGTATGACAACTATTTACATAGCATTCACATTTTATTACATATTATAAGTAGTTAGAAACTATTTAAAGTATATAGGAGGATGTACACTATTATATGCAAATACTATGTGTGCCCTTTTATATAAGGAACACAGCATTCACAGATTTTGTTATTGGGTAGGGGGGTCGTGGAACCAATTACCCAAAGATACTAAAGAGTGGCTGTACTCACAAGGCAATGCATGATGGTCTGCTTTTAAAAGATGGAATGGAATAGCAAGTGGAGGCACAGGTAGTTAGCTGTGGACTTTCTAGGAAACAACTGGACTGGAGGATGGTAATCCTGACTCTGCTACTGACTGACAGGTTACTTAAGTTTTAATGCTTAACTCACCTCATCTCAGATTGTGACATTTCAGCTACCTCAGGGACCATTGTGAACAAGTAGTGAGCTACTATACAGGCAAGTGCTGGGTGAGTGGGAAATAGTCTGATTAATTTAAGAGGTTTAAAGGGTGTTTTTCAACAGCAGCATTACTGACATTTCAGATCAGATGATCCCTGTGTTGTGAGCAGATGCACTGTGCATCATGGGATGTTTAGCAGCATTCCTGGCCTCTACCCACTAGATGTAAGGTGCGTCCTACCTCATAGCCCAATTATAGCAACCAAACATGTATCCAGATATTTCCAAGTATCAGCTAAAGGGAAATACTGCTGCTGGTTAATAATCACTAACTTAGAAGGTTACAGGCCACAGGGTAACTTTAAAAACTAGAGGTTAAATTGTAACCCCCACTCCCAGCCACTCTTATCTACTTTCAGTTCCTTTATTCCTCAGAAACTATTCTCTAAAAATGTAAATACAGAGTTCTGAAAGTATTGATATTCTCTGAAGTTAATCCAGTGATGGAAAAGAAACATTGTCCCCTATAGATAATCCAAGCACAAACACAAATTTTCTAATGAGAAAAATTTGGAATGAATTAAAATGATACATAGCATATAAAAACTTAGGGAATACAGTTAAAGTAGTTCTTATTGTAAACAACTATATTAAAAAGAATAAAGATGGATTTCTGATTTCCAGTCCAGCATACAATGAACTTGGATGTTGTTACTTCATCCTAACAAGAAGTAAATAGCTAGACAAAATGAAAAAATAGCAAACAGATTTTTTCTTAGATCTGTTAGAAAAGTGAGGCCATAAGAGCACTGCTACTCCAAAAAGTTGAGTGACAGCTGATAAGGAGAATTACAATTTATCAGAGGAAAGACCCACAATTAGAAGCCTCTACAGGAATCAGGACCAGTCAGGGAAACCTGAAGCATTAATTGACAAGATTGGTAGGGGCTCAGTATGGATATACCTGAGAATTGAGAACTCCGGGACAGGGTCGGTATTAAGGGAATACACCCACACTTCTTTGAGTTTTATCTCCAAAAGCCCTACAAGTTGTCCCAGTCAAGAACAGAGGCAATATCCTCATGCTTTATACAGGAGGAGGGGGAAAGTAGCCATTTTGAATAACACCAGAACAGTCTGTTCTTAAAATGTCCTGCCCTCAGGAGAAACTACCAGCACACAAGTTATTAGAATTTCATGAGAGCTAAAGAGACATGGAGAAGAGAAATGCTCAACACCAACCATCTTCTACCCTTCAGTGTGGAGGAAGGGAAAACACCCCAACTCCATTCCCCTCTAGCCATCCTGTCCCACCTGAGTGGGAACTGAGAAGCAAATATATGTAATAGGAATACCAGAAATAAAGGAAAGCAAGCAACATCTCTAGCAATTAGAGAAGTGCAAATCAAAACTACTCTAAGATTTCATCTCACTCCAGTCAGAATAGTAGTTTTCAAGAATATAAACTTCAATAATTGCTGGTGAGGATGTGGGAGGAAAGGCACACTTATACATTGCTGGTGGAATTGCAAAATGATACAACCACTTTAGAAAGCGGTATGCAGATTCCTTAGAAAACTTGGAATGGAACCACCATTTGACCCAGCTATCCCACTCAACACCTGTAATCCCAGCATACTACAGTGATATAGCCACAACAATGTTCATAGCAGCTCAATTCACAATAGCTAAACTGTGGAAACAGCCTAGATGTCCTTCAATAGATGAATGCATAAAGAAACTGTGGTATATATACTCAATGGAATATTACTCAGCATTAAAAGAGAATAAAATTATGGCATTTGCAGGTAAATGGATGTAGCTGGAGAATATCATGCTTAGCAAAGTAAGCCAATCCCCAAAAACCAAAGGCCAGATGTTCTCTCTAATAAGTGGATGCTGATCCATAATGGAGAGAGCAAGGAAAGAATGGAGGAACTTTGGATTAAGCAGAGGTGAGGGTTGGGAGGGGAAGGGATCTGTAGGAGGGAAGGTGGTGGAATAAGATGGACAATATTACCCCATGTATGGGTATGATTACATGAATGGTGTGACTACATCATGTACAACCAGAGAAATGAAAAGTTGTGCTTTATTTGTGTAAAAAATAAAATAAAATTAATTTAATTTTTAAAAGAGAAATGAATAGAAGGCATATTTAAAACAATAATGGCTGAGAATTTCACCAAAATTCATGTCAGACACCAAACACAGATCCAGGAATCTGAGGGAATAACAAGGAGAATAAATGCAAAATAATCTAGGCATATAATATTCAGACACCAGAAAATTTTTTAAAAAGACAAATAAAATAAAGTCTTTGAAGAAGATAGAGGAACCAAGCAGCTTATCTATTCAGGAGATCAGGTAAAAGTTACATTTGACTTCTCAGAAAACATGCAAGCAAGAAAAGAGTGCAGTAAACTATTTAAAATGTTGAGGAACAAAACACCAACCTTAAATTCTGTACCTTGTGAAACTATTATTCAAAAGTGAAGGAAAACTAAGACTTCCTTAGACAAACAAAAACTGTCAACAATAAGCCTGATTTCCATAAATGTTAAAAAAAAGTTCCTCAGAGAAAAGGAAAATGATATAAATCAGAAACTTGAAGGTACATAAACAAGAAAAGAATAGAAAAGGAATAAGTGAAGACAAAATAAAAATTTTCATTTTTTTCTCATTCTTAACTTATCTAAGAGACAATAAACTATTCAAAATAGCAATGATGTATTTGATTATTTGTGTATATGTATACACTTAGGTATGCTTATATATAAGTGAAATTAATAACATCAATGATGAAATAAAGAAGTGATTAGGACAAACTTGTTATTATAAGGCATTGTAATAAATGTGGATATAGTGCATATCTTGTATGGTATTATTTGAAAATAAACTGGGATTCGATGTTAATGTATATTTTAAACTCCAGGGCAATCAATAAAAAACAGTTTTAAACATTATTATTAATATGCTGAGAAAATGGAATCCTATAAAATGCTAAATTAAAACAATAAAAAACAGAAAAATATAGAAGATATAAACAGAACAAGAACAAGGGCAAGAAGCTGGACATGGTGGCTCACACCTGTAATCTCAGTGGTACAGGAGGCTGAGACAGGAGGATCTCAAGTTCAAAGCTAGCCTCAGCAACTTAGTGAGGTCCTAAGCAACTTAGTGAAACTGTTTCAAAAAAAATTTTTAAAGGCTGGGGATGTGAGCTGGGGTTGTGGTTCAGTGGTAGAGTGTTCACCTTGCATGTGCAAGGCCCTGGGTTTGATCCTCAGCACCACATAAAAATAAATAAATAAAACAAAAGCACTGTGTCCACCCACAACTAAAAAATAAATAAATATTTTTTTAAAAAAAAAAGGTCAGGGATGTGACTCAGTGGTTAAATGCCCCTAGTACAATCCCTAGTACAAAAAAAAAAGGGCAACAAATAGAAAACAGCAACAAAATGATAGGTATTCAACCATATTAATGCCTATTTTAAGTGCCAATTGGTTAAATATTCTAATTAAGAGACAGATATTTTCAGAAGGGATAAAAAAACCAAGGCCCAAACATGCTATTTACAAGAAATATAATTGAAACATAAAACATATAAATGAAAAGGAATAGAGAAAGAGATATCATGTTAACACTAATGAAAAGAAAGTTAGATGCTGGGCATGGTGGCACACACCTGTAATCTCAGCAACTCAGGAGGCTGAGGCAGGAAGGTTACAAGTTCAAAGCCAGCCTCAGAAACTTATCGAGGCCCTAAGCATCT